CAATGGGGGAAAGGTGGCAAGGAAGCTGCCTTGAAGAAGGTGGTGTCCTCCTTCCTGGCAAGGGGAAACAAATCTTCCCAGCCTAATTGCCAATGATCGCAGTTTCCCCGTCAGCCTAGAATCCAGGATTGCCCATTATCTTGGTTTCCCTGTCAGCCTGGAGTCTAGGGCAGAGTTTTATGTTCCTGGGAAGCCCCGAGAATGTTGAGACAGAGCCTCGGGGGTGGAATGTGAGTCAGGTTGATGGAGTAGATGGAACATCTGGAGAGAAGAAACTCTCTCTCTCTCTCTCTCTCTCTCTCTCTCTCTCTCTCACTGGCAAGGGGGAAACTGAGACTTCCTCTATTGGGGGAAGGGGAGAATGGGTGGCTAAGCCTCTGAGACTACCTGAGAGCCAGACAACTGTCCCCTCCATCCTGCATTCCCCCCAACCAAAAAAAAAGAAAAATTTGTGAAAGTAAAATCAGTAACAAGGGTTCATACAGCAAGTATGTGCACAGAAAACTTTAGAGATGAAATGCATTTTTAAAATATTAAATATGTAAGTTTAAAAATTATGTGCATGGGGGCTGGAGTGATAGCACAGCGGGTAAGGCATTTGCCTTGCACGCGGCCAACCCGGGTTTGATTCCCAGCATCCCATATGGTCCCCAAGTACCCCCAGGATTGATTCCTGAGTGCATGAGCCAGGAGTAACCCCTGTGCATCGCCGGGTGTGACCCAAAAAGCAAATACATAAATAAATAAATAAATAAAGTAAAGGCCCTCCCATTGATCATCGATTTGCTCGAGCGGGCCCAGTACCGTCTCCATTGGAGACTTTGTTGTTACTGTGTCTGGTATATCGAATACTCTCAGTAGCTTGCCGGGCTCTGTGCATAAAAAAACGTAATTCCCATTAGTATCAAAGCAGAAACTAAGAGCAGTGAAAAGAGACATAAGAATTAGGACAATGGTTTGGAGGCCTACCTTATGAGCTGGCGGAGAAGGAAGTTGGGACAGCTGAGATAGAGATGGGACCATTAAGTCAATGATAGTTGGAGGGATCACTCACTCAGAATGAGAGATGTGGGCTGAAGGTAGACCAAGGACCAAACACGATGGTCTCTCAGTACCTGTATCGCAAACCATGATGCCTAAAGTAGAGAGAGCATAAGAAGGAAAATGCCATAGAGGCGTGGGGTGGGATGGATGGGGGTGGCGGGAGAGATACTGGGGACATTGGTGGTGGAAAATGCTCACTGATGGAAGGATGGGTCTTCGATCATTGTATGACCGAAACCCAATCAAGAAAGCTTTCTAACTATCTCAGGGCGATTCAGTAAACAAAACACCAGAATATTCTGGATAGTAGGAGCTGATGAAATAGCACCAAGGGTTGAGTAAACAGTTTTTGCATGTAGGAGGCCTGCGTTTTATTTCCATCACCAACCCCCTACCCCACATGTCCCCTGACCCCAAAATATAATAAAGTAGACTATCCAGGCAATAAATATCAACAAATAATAGTACAAACAAGTGAAAAAAAATCATCAAACAGGTCTGGATCAGCAAAAGCCCTGCACCTCTGGTAATAAAATGAGACCAACTTATGTTTTAAGAAACCCTGTGGCCTCAACGTAGAGATCAGATGAAACAGAGTGAGCACACAGCTAAAAGAAAACTAGTCTCTAAACGAAGACTAAATAAAAGCAATGTTAAATTAAGGAATGAAAAAAAGAGCTAAAACCAAGTAATTTGAAAGACTGCTTACACTTGAGCCACCACTAAGGTGGAAGAGTAGAATTAGTATTTGCTAAATATTCTTTTTTGAAACTATTTTATTTCGTTTATTGAGATCCAGATATATAAAAACCCTAAGTCAATGCTACTTTAAACCTGAAGTTCCTCCTAGCATGAACTAGGTTTAATTGACAACTGTTCAATAGCAGTGAAATTAACTATTTCTCTCTCTACCTTTTTGTCTGTGTTTCATCAATATATAAAGCTACAAAAGGGCTTCGATTTTGATGAGTCCCTCTAACCTCTAATGTTATGATGCAAGACAAAACTTTGGACTTGCTTTTAGAAAATTTCACTATAAAAATTTTAAATTTAACTTGATAAACTTTTCAAAAACAATCTTCACACTTAATGCTAAATGCCACTGTAGAGTAGACAGAGCAAGAGCGATTAAATAATGCATTTATTTTGGTTGAAAACACAAACGTGAAGTGCTCCTAGACACTGAAGAGACCAACAGACAGTAAAATATCTTCTGCAGTAGAAACAGATTAGAACATGGAGCTAAAAAAATCATTTAGCTAGTGAATGAAAAATGCTATTAATATTAACGTGAGGATAGGACTCTCAGTCATCTCAACTTGTGTGTCGGCATACAGAACTTTAACATTTAATTACGTCATGCACATTATTATGGCAAAATCTTGAATTGCTTATTAACTCCTGAAAGTCACATATCTCTCTCTGGTTAATCTTCACAACTACGGTCTAATCAGGAAGTCAAGATTCAGGCAGGTTTTTATAAAGTCTACCACCTAGGCACTCAGTTAAAATATAGACAGCAAAATAAATCTTTGGAGAACAAAACCTGTGTTTCTCTGTAAGTTTCATATTCCATTTGCATTAACTTTTTTTGCGAGGCAAACAAAATGCTTTCAACTCGGGACATAAAAGTAATGAATCATCCCCCAAAGATTCCGCCCTCCGCCCCCCCCCCCCGCCCCGCCCTCCCCTCCCCCCCCATTTAGGTACTAAGTTACTCTCTCCCACGACAGAAGGAGAACTGAAAGGTAAAACTTTTTTTTTTGGGGGGGGGTTGTTGTTCTTTATTTTAAACTACAGGATGTGCCCAGGTTCTCACAGTTTTTGCAAGGGAAGTTCACCGCAAAGCTACATTACCCAACCCAAGAACTAAAACGGAATGGTTACTGTACCAATATATGGAATTTGAGCAGGATCACGCGACTATATTACACAGATAATATATTAAGCAAAATTCTAGTAGCCTACAAACTTTTTTAATAGTCCCGCCCGTCGGTGGGAAGTAAGTTTTGATCACACAAATTCCATCCTAATTATGACCGTCTTTTCCCACACCAATAAAGTCACGCACGGTAAAGAAAATCGAAGTCCAAGTTCTAATATGCTCCCCCACCCACAGATCTAGGAGATTTGTTGCAAATGCATTTCCCACCCCAGGGAGGAGAGGAGGGAGGAGATCGAACCCCGGGGCCTCCCACCTGTCTAGCAGGCACTTGACCGCGCACGGAATCTGCTTCCCGCTCCTGGCACGAGCACTTCAAAAGAATGCGTGGAAGCCGCCTAAAGTCAGGGAATTTGCACCATTTTTTTCCCCTTTGACATTTGCAGTGTCAGTCTTAAAAAGGAAAAAAAAAAAACCCTACTTTTAATCTCCTACTCATGCAATATATGGATGAGCAATAAGGGCTCCCATCACTTGCAGACGGTCGCGACCAGGCACCGAAGAACATGCCTCTATGTTTGCAAGCATCACCGCCTTGCCTAAAAGCCCCCCCAAAGAGACCTTTCAGAACCCCTTCTCTACCCCTTAAGCACCCAATGACTATGCCCTGCAATTCTCAGTGGAGATTCTCCTCCAGTTCTTTCCCACAGGTTGAAGACAAAATTTAAAAAAAAAAAAAAAGGCGGGGTGGAAGGGGGGGGTTGGCTGCCAGACGAAAACATCTAAACTGCACTCATTTACATGTTTCGGGATCATTCCGGCGGTGTTTTTCTTTTTCTTCTAATTCCCCCCACCCCAGGTACTTGAGATTTTTTTTTCCAACTACAAATTCCCATCTACATGTGCTTTTTTTTTTTTTTTGCAGATCGCTCTGTCAAAGAAACTTAAATGCTTGGAGGGGTGGGGGGGAGAGAGGGAGACGCGTCGTCCTCCGGAGCTTAATTCCCTGATGCGAGTGGACCCCGCGCGGTCCCCGCGGCTATTCCCCGCGGCCGGCCGGGCGCCCGGGTGGTGGAGGGCCGGGAGGTGGGGGGGGGGGGGGGGAACCGCGCCTCGGCCCGGCAGGAACCCGCACGGCGCGCCGCCGAGCGGCCGGAGGGAGCGGCCCAGCTCCCCGCCGCAAGTAGTTTCCCGCGGCTGGCGGGGAGGGCGCCGAGCTCCCCGCGGGACCCCAACGCACCACACGGCCCGACCGGGGTCCGCGGCGGCGGCGGCGGGGAGCTGAGCAGGCACCTGGGGGGGAGAGGGACAGCGGCGGCGGCGCGGATCGCGGCGAGGGGGCAGCGACAGTTGCGCGCGCCCTCCACCTACCTCCAACAAGTCCAAGTCCCCGAGAGGAACCCGATCGACGGCGGGCGGGTCGTGCGCGGCGCGACGGCCGCGGCCGGGGTGTCTCGGCCCGGGCTGGCCGCCGTTGGGGGCCGCCGGGAACCACGCGCCGACCGGCAGCAGAAGGCAGGAGCCCCGTCACCCGCCCCAACCCAGCGCCCACCGCCCGACGCTCCGCTCCGCTCCGCGCCTGCGCCCCGCCCCCCGCCCCGCCCGCCGGGACTTCGCCCGCGCCTGCGCCCTGCGGACTTTTCGCGCCACCCGCGGGAGCGCGGGGGCGGGCCGGAAGTGACGGAACGAAAGGCGGGACGAAGCCAGTAGGAGGAAATCCGCGGTCGGCAGCCGCCGGGAGCCCGGGGAAAGCGGCGGCTGATTTGCTTCATTGAAAAAGTGGATCCTGCATATCCTCTCCGGCCCCAGTTCTGCCCGGTGGACCCGGCCGAGAGCCCGGAAAGCTTCGGTGCGACCGAGCGGGGGTGGGGGGCGGAACCGTCACTTCCCGGAAGGGGCGGGACTCTCGCGCCAAGGCGCCAGATTTGAAGTTGTTCCTGGATCCCGTCGGCTCCGGGTTGGAAAAGCCCCAAACGCCACTGGCGTCCCTGGAGCAAAGGAGAATTGATCGATCTGGGTTTTTTTTTTTCTTGTTTGTTTTTGTTGTTGTTTGTTTGTTTTTCATTTTAGCAAAGAAAAACCGAGACATCCGGACGCCTCACCTTGTTGCGAGTCAGGCCGAAGTGTTCAATGACGCAGGGGCGCCCGCCCGAGCCCGGCAGGCAGGGTTTGTCCGGGTAAGTCCCGCGGGGACGCGGAGCGCGGGGGTGGGTGGGCACCTGCCGGCTCCTTGCACGGGGTTTTCTGGGGACGGGCCGGCTCACGGCGACTCGTGGACTCCGCAAGACCGCCGCGGTGCCCGCAGCCGCCCCTCCGAGGACACCGTCCCCGTCCGCGGCTCTCTCGGTCGAGGACCGTCGGGAAGGGGACCCCGGATCGGAATCCGCGGGTCAGCCCTGGCGGGCAGCGGCCTCTTAAGGATGCCGGACTCCGCCCGGTTGACCGTGACCTGCTGGGTCCCTATGTCCTCCCTCCCGGCCCGCCGCGGGCACTTGCCCACGCCTTTTTCCAGCCCTTGGGGAGGGGGGCGTGGTGGGAGGGGTGAGTCTTCCGGGACCCGCGGGGGCATGCTCGGTGTTCTGAAACTGTTGCTTGCAGCACTTTCCCTTAGGGCATTGAGGTTGATGCTTTTGGGGTTTGTTTTTTTTTTCTCTCGGTCTTTACCCGCATCTGCCAATGGTGCAACCTTCTGCAAAAACACTGGAACTCCGTTCAGAAGCTTGCCACAAAGTGGTGGCGGAGGGGGGGGGGGGGGCGGGGAGGGCAGTTAGGTGAGAGAAGGGACCACTATGACAGTGGTAGTTGAAAGACAAGAATTGAATGCTGAAAATAGGTAAAGGGAGATACGTGATTACCTTTGAATAACCGTGCTTTTTGAGTAGCGTTCATAATGCCCAAAAGGGGAGAGAAGAAAAGTGCCTGCCAGTAGAGGCCGACTAGTGGTGGGAGGTGGCAGGAGGGAATATGAGGACATTGATGGTGGGAAATGTACACTGGTGAGAGGATGGGGTGGGTATATTAGAACATTGTATGATCAAAACCCAATCAGGAACAACATTGTAATTATGTATCTCACTTGGCTTAAAAAACACATGCTCAAAACCACTGAATCTAGGGCTGGAGAGATAGTACAACTTGCAAGGCCTTGACCTTGCACCAGCTGACCAGGGTTGGATCCCAAGCCCCACCAAGATTGATCCCTGAGTGCAAAGCCGGGATTGAACCCTGAGCCCTAGCCTTGCCCCAGCCTTCCAAATATACTGGAACTAAGAAAGTTGATGCTCCTTGTCTGAGTTTCCCTAGCTCTTCTGGACCCAACAGTAACCTCCTCTTGGGTTAATACTCCACTTCCCGTTATGGTGCTTCTGCCAAGCCACCCACTTTCATGACAACAAAATCTTCTGGTTGAGAAAATGGCCTTTACCACCCCTAGCCCTCACCCCCCTCCCCCAAATAAATTAGTGTCAAACCTCAGAGGCTACAGTAATGAAATGCCTACCCTTAAAGTCACCCATTTTAATTCTGAAGATAATCACGGATATGCTGATCTTATTGTGGCCTTTGTGTGGCACAGTGAGAAGTATGACATAATTGAGATAGATTCAAACTTTATATCTGGCCTCAATGATCTTTCTTGGTAAATGATGGGAATCACCCTTAGGGGGGGGTTCTGCTTAGATCACTGGCTTTGCTAAGAGGGCCCTGATGCCCAAGACTAGGCATGTACCCTTTTTGTTCCAAGTACTCCTTGCTCACAGCCTTAATGGTGTACCTGTACTTATCCAGTTGCTAACTCCCTTATCTTTATTCTGACCATTCTAAGGTCCTTAAACACAGATCTTGATCTTTCATTGAATCTGCAGCATCTAGAAGAGCTCCCAGTACACAGGGAATATTCAGTAAGTTCAGTCTAGGTTGCATGATGCTTCAAAGTCAAAGCTAAATTCATCAGCACATCAAGCTGAATAAATAGGAAAGAGCGCTGATTAGCAAAACTATGGTAAATCCTGAGCAGTTCTATACTGGAATAAACTATAGCTTTGGCCAATCTTCGTATGAAAGATTTGAAATAGAAAATTTAAAGTGTTTCTCACTGTATTGTGTAGGAAATTCTTTAATGTTTTTGCTTCAAAGTGCAGGAAAAATGGAAACTTGTTTTTTTTTTTTAAGGTGTATTTTTGCATAACTCAAACCATCGGCTTCTTTTTATGTCTTTAGATTTGATCCATTAGTAGAATTAGCAAGGTTCTGTGTTTTCTCACCTCATTCAGTTTTATAATTATCCAATAAAAGCTTATTAGCTTTTAAGGAAGTTTTAGGAGCATAAATTGATTTATGAGTACCATATGGTTACATCAAAGGATTTGTTTTTGTTTTAACCAGGTGGGTTCTGAAACCTTTTGTTTAAACTAAAAATTTATGTTCTTTCTGCTAAGCAGTAATATCTGCAATAGAATGTTTTTTTTTTTTCAAATGCCAAGCTACCAAAATTGATGAGATCCAAAAACCGAAGAGCATCTTGTAATTCATCAGGTTTTCTGCCGTATTTTGTAGATAGGTTAAAATCTTCCCAAGGTCATTCAGCTAGAAGATCAGAACATCATAAGCTTCTTTTCCCTAGCCAGTGAGCTTACACTAAACTAGATTGAAGTTATGTCTTTATTGGTTCTGACTTTGTTTATTCATCTAACTGTTCTTGTGTCTTAGAAGATCTTCTAAGATTTGGTGTGACACACATTAGAAGGCACATGGAATATGCATAATATTATATCGCTGTCAATATAAATTATTACTCAAGATATGAGTAAAGACTTACAAAGGTCCATACTACAAAAATTTTAAGTTTTCACCCTACTTTTTTCTTTTTAAAAAATGACAAAATTGTAAAATATATTTCAGAGTAATAAGAACAACCCATTGAATTCCCAGTGTACAACCCCACTCTGTGCCCCAAGATAGAACTGTTCTTACCCTTCCACGAAAGTTTTCCTCTTATATTTGTTTGGACTATTTTTGAATGCAGAGATTTTGCTCTTCTCTGGTAAAGTTTCTAGTCTCCTGGGCTTTAAAAGCTCTTCTAATTACTATTTTTGTTTGTTTGTTTTTTTAAATTGTAAGAAAGATTCTAGTATTCTAAAATATAAAAATAAAAAGTAATACAAAATTATACTGAAGGTGAACTTGATATGTGTAAGGATGTTTTCATTTTATTTACTGCTGAACTGTTTCCAAGTAACCCCACCAGTTTGATCATGACCTCATGAAAGAACCATCTGTTCTCTCTTTGTAGTCATACTTGAATATCTTAAAAACTATTTCGCCCTGTGCTCTTTTGGAATTTCATGTGCTTTTACAGTCTGTTGCTACTTAATGTCACCGTAAAGACTGATGCAAGGAAAGTGATAAGAAATAGAAAATAGATGATGGAAACAGATAACTGAGATGTTATGGCATTGTCAATAAAGTTGCTTTGCACATAATTTTGCCCATCGAAGTAGTTTTTTTGTAATCTGCTTTTACAAATGATTTTCCAACGACATATGTTTTTTGGTTTTGGGTTTTGGCTAACACCCAGAGTACTCAGGCTGGTTCAGACCAGGGTTCACTCCCAGGGATGCTCAAGGAATCCTACCTCCGTGGTGCCAGGAATCAACACAGGCTCTCTACTTGAGCCATATCCCAGCCCTTTTAAGGATATGTTTTAAAGGTCGGAGACACTGATCAAGCTGCTGTCTCAGAGACAAAGAAAGAGGAGAATCAAGAACCACTGCTGGGTTCTTAGCCAAACAAGCCAGAATTTCAGGAAGGTTAGGAATAAGACAGTTTGGGCACAGCTAGTGGAATCAAGAGCATCTTTGTCATCTCTGTGAAGAGTAAGAGATTAAATGTCTTAGTCAAGAGCTCAGGGTTTGTCATATGATGGTGGATAAATGTTATTAGGGTAAATAAAAGTTCCTGCATTATGCTCTTCAAATTGAATTCAGTAGTAATGTCCTTTCAGTGCAGTCTGCCTCTGACTAAAATGTTTCTATGTAACTTGTTTTATAATTTTTATGCCTACTCCAAACCCTTGGCTGGAGCAATAGCACAGCAGGTAGAGTGTTTGCCTTGCACACGACCGACCTGGGTTCAATTCCTTCGTCCCGCTCGGAGAGCCCGGCAAGCTACTTAAGAGTATCCTGCCCACATGGCAGAGCTTGGCAAGCTCCCTGTGGTGTATTCAATGTACCAAAAGCAGTAACAATGAGTCTCACAACGGAGACGTTACTAGTACTCGTTCGAGCAAATTGATGAACAACGGGAGGACAGTGCTACAGTCCTTTAAATATTTTTTTGCTTCAGTCACTTAACAGTGATTTGTGAAGTGCCTAGAACTTCGGCATTCAATTTTTTTTCCACCGAAGGTAACATGTGAACCAGTTGTGCTCTTTCTTTGCTTAACTATTAAATACCTAATAAAGCTGAGAAACATTGTCATCATATACTGGACCTCTCCCCCTGGTTAATTTTTGGTTGTAAGAGAGGATCCTGTAGCACTGTAACACTGTCCTCCAGTTGTTCATCAATTTCCTCCAGCGGGCCCAGTAATGTCTCCATTGTGAGATTTGTTGTTACTGTGTTGGCATATCGAATACGCCACGGGAAGCTTGCCAGGCTCTGCCGTGCGGGTGGGATACTCTGGTAGCTTGCCGGGCTCTTCCAGAGGGTCGGAGAAATTGAACCCAGGTCAGCCATGTGCAAGGCAAATGACCTGTCTGTGCTATTGTTCCAGCCCCCAGTGACTGCTATAATAATTATTGTGAATGGGTTTGAAAATGTCAAGATGAAAAAATACCTCAGTGATATCTATTTTTAAAACTGTTTTGGTGGCCCAAGCAATAGTCCAGTGGGTAGGGCACTGCTGACCTAGGTTTTATCTCTAGCTTCCCATATAATGCCCCAAGTCCACACGGAGTGTTCCCTGAATTCAGAGCCAGGAGTGAGCCCTGAGCACTGCTGGGTGTAGCGCTTGGAAACTTCTAAAGTTGGGGGAAGTACACCGGCCATGCTCTATGCTCGGGGGCTATTTTTGTTTCTGTGCTCAGGAGTGACCACAGTTTGGGTTCCGAGGTATTAGGGATTGAGCCTGTATCATGCAAGGAAAAGATAAGTGCCCTCCCCACTGTGCTCTTTTTCCTGTCCCTGGTATCTTATTGTATTAATAGAATCTGTTCTGGACTTATTCTGGTCATTGCTCTCTTGGGGAATAATATTTCATTAATGTTTTGCAGAATAATCCTGACTATAGTTTATAAATCAAGAATCGACCTCACTGAGTGCCAAAGCACATATTAAATCGGTTTTGTTTCATATTGTTTTTAATTTAAAAAAAATAAAAGAACATACCTCACCAGTGTTTCTTTAATTTTTTTTCACAAACCCAAAAGAAATGCAACTTCAACCATAGCCCTAAACAGAAATATACGTTTACTTGTGCCCTCCTAGCACCACTGCGCTGGGTGATAGTCTGCACTAAATCTGTACTCTCAGCTTACAATGAAGCATTGCAGAGGAAAGGAAGGATTGGTCTTTAGAGTAGCGATGAGCAGAGGGGAAAAGGTGCCTGCTTTCCCTCAGACACTACAACTCCTTCCAGAAAGAAATTCGAAAATATGAAGCACTCATTCTTTCAAAAGCTATTTTCTGAGCTTTGCATTTTAATCTGACCCTTGAACTACAGCCATATTAGGTTACTTAATATTCAGGTAAGACACACACCATCTAAAGATTGTTAGCTTGTTCTTCCAACCATTACATTACAGTTAGAATTACTTTTTTACAAACTTCCATAGTTTGAAAAGTAACACATGCATATTGTTCTATAAAAGCTTTAGCAGGGCCCAAGAGCTTGAGTACATGCTTTGCATGCTTGAAGCCCATGTGAAATCCCCAGATCTCATATGGCCCCTGGAACACTGCCATGAGTGATATCCCCTCCCCTATAGAACTAGTTGTAGCCTCTGAGCACCACCAATTGTCAACCAAAAATAAAAGATTTGGCAAAAAGAACTGTTTTTCCCCATCCCCACCTAGCAATACCAAGAAATCTATCCTTTCTTTGCATATACTTAACGTAAACAATGTAAACTGACGTTCTGTCCTTTGAAAGAAATTTATTTCTCCTATATTTTTGTATAATGTTGCAGTGAATATCACTGCAAATATCTACACACACCTAAAAGTATATCTTAAATTCCAGAAGTAAAATGTGTTAAGATAATGACTCCAGAGAAAAAAATTGCAAAATTTATATAAATCTATTCCAGTATTCAGGATGAGTTACAAATTAAAAAAAAAAAAAAAGGAAACCAAAACTGTCAGCAAGAACTTTCCATCAAGCTTTATATCTGAATTTTACATGTGTTGATGGTTAACAGTTTAAAAGTCTGTATTTGCATAATAATGCCTTGGAAAATATATTTTCCCTTTTCCATCTTCCAGTAATACCTCTTGTCTTACCAAAGATGTTGAACTAACTCAAAAATCTTTGTCAATACCACTTTCAGCCAATGACTTTTGTGACTTGAAATTGAAGATATTTGGGGTGAATCACCATTAACAACTATAATACTTTCTTTTCAATTTGTAGATTTTTCTTTTAAAGCAGGTTACAGTGGCAGAGTTTCAGCCAGTTCTGCGCCTGGCTTCCTTTTTTTTTTTTTAATATCATGTGCATATAAAAAATTTAGTGGATTTTTGTGAATTTTTTTGTTGATATTGTTTTAGATAGTGGAACTACTGGTAATTCCTTTTGTTTTTTTTTTTTTCATCTAAATGATTTTTTCTCATTGAAAATGTGACTTTGCAATTTAAAAAATGAGAATTCAATATTCCTTCAATTCTCCATTTTCTGCTTCCGTACTTTTTCATCACAATATTTCATTAGCCTCTTGTTTTTTCTTATTATTTTGCTTATTTACCCACTTTCTTGCTTTTTAATATGAGAAAATTTGTATTTTCTCATATTAGAAATCTCATATAAGAAGTTTTTTTTTTTTTGCTTCAGTCACTTAACAGTGATTAGTGAAGTGCATATGACTCTTTTGTATTTAATTTTTTTTTCTGCCAAAGGTTCTACTTGGGTATGTCAGTAAAGCAGGGGGCTTTTTAAGAAGACATTTCTGAATTTTCTATCCACTTATGTATATTTTAACCTTTCTAATTATTAGCTGAAAGTAAACTGTCACCATTTGGGGTACTGTTTTTCTTCTCTTTTTTCACATTCTTGCAATATAAACGAAACCATATTGGGAAATGTTTTGAGTGAAGAATGAGAAAGGGGTAGGGTACCATTGGTATTTGGTTAACATTAAAAGTAAAAGTAAGTAAAAGTAAAGGCCCTCCCATTGTTCATCGATTTGCTCGAGCGGGCCTAGTAACGTCTCCATTGGAGACTTTGTTGTTGCTGTGTTTGGCATATCGAATGCGTCATGGGGAGCTTGCCAGGCTCTCCGAGAAGTTAACATTAAATTCAAATATTTTTTTCTGTGTTACAGAGAAATAGCTATTGTCATGAGTGAATTTTAAAGGGCGCATTTAACATACTATAAACTACCAAAAGTTGGGGGCAGAGAGATAGCACAGTGGGTAGGGCACTTTTCTTCCATGTGGCAGATCCAGTTTTGATCCTGGGCACATCAGGCATATTATATAAAAATATATACATATATATATTTTTTTTGTATGCCAAATGATCCCTCATCTGTCGTACTGAAGTCATATTGTTCACTAGTTTTATATATCTGTAGTGAACAATGTGGATAGATATAGATATATATACTTCAGGCACTACCAGAAGTAATTCCTGAGTGCAGAACCAGGAGTGACCCCTGAGCATCACTGGATGTGACTCAAAAAACTGAAGAAAAACAAAAACTTGCATTATCATTTTTGGAACTTGTTAGTTACCAGCATTTTAACGTTCAGAGTATTTTTGGTTGATTAAAATTGAACTGACTAAAAGATGAGCGTAAACTATATTAATGAATTATCCTAAACTGGAGTGATAGCACAGCGGTAGGGCGTTTGCCTTGCACGCAGCCAACATGGCCGACCCGAGTTCGATTTCTCCGCCCCTCTCGGAGAGCCCGGCAAGCTACCGAGAGTATCTCGCCCGCACGGCAGAGCCTGGCAAGCTCCCCGTGACGTACTCAATACGCCAAACACAGTAACAAGTCTCATGATGGAGACATTACTGGGCCCGCTCGAGCAAATCGATGAACAACGGGAGGACAGTGACGTGGTAATTTATGATGGTGAATTCCTGTTCTGAGCTTCTTTGTCTTAACAATCTTTTCAGTTGGTTCAGATGACATCAGATAATAACCAGAATGGGAGTGACTGATTTGTGGCAAATTCTGGAGCCTGTTAAGCAACACACCCACTTACATAGCCTTGGTGGAAAAACCATTGCAGTTGATCTGAGTCTCTGGATATGCGAAGCACTGTCAGTCAAAAAAATGATGGGAACAGTCGTGAAACCACACCTCAGGTATGATGGAAGTTTTTAGAATATGTATGTTGCTGTGCTACAAGCTTGGTTTTGTTCTCACTTCATTTTTTGTTCTGTTACAGTTTGAGATAGTTAATATTTATATTAATGTGTCTAGATCTGTCACTTTTATATTGACTCACAAATTTGTATTCCTTATCCCTTGAACTCCAGATTCGTATGTCTAGCTGTGCACCTAAAATATTCACTCAGGTGCTCCAGTGACCAAAAGCCAGAAATTTGGGAGCCATTTTTTCTCTCTGATTTCCCCCTTCCCACAGCCAATCCGTGAAAAGTCTTGCCAGCTACTTCCAGTATAGACTTCGTGTTCACAAACTTTTCTCAGACTCCAGAGGCACTTCCTCCGTGCATGCCAGATTGTGTCTCATCTGTCCTACTGAAGTCACATTGTTCACTATTTTTCTCCCTCTGTTCTTTACCTCCTTCTCCAAATCATTTCCACAAAACAAAATAGTCCTAAATCAGGACTGGAGAGAGAGAGTACAAGGGTAAGACACTTGCCTTGCACACAGCAGATCCCAGTTCAATCCCTCGCACCATACAAGGTGATCTTCCCTGCCATAAGCACTGCCAAGTGTGGCTCCCCCAAACCAAAAAAAAATAAATAAGTAAGAAATTAAAATAATCCTGACTTGTCTTACTTTGTCATAATCACTGGATTTTTAGCCCCACTTAATATAAAATCTTCATCAGTAGTTATTTTTGGTGGTATTTTTAATAATTGGCATTATGTCAGATGGTTATGTTGATTTTGCTGTCAATACATAATTTATGTATTTTTAATTTTTATATTCAGGAATTTATTTTTTCGTATCTCATATTTAACACTTATGGATGTGAATCTGGTGTTTGTTATGGAAGGGGAGCCCCCCAAATTAAAGGCTGATGTTATGAGCAAGAGGAATCAGGTTCGTTACGGATCTTCAGGAAAGCCAGGGACTCAGAAAACAGGGAGATCACACTTCAAATCAGTCTTAAGAGAGGTAAGCATTCAATTCTGGTTCAGTACTCTTGATTTGAATTAAAGCACACATTTTACACTATATAACTGATCAGCTACATTTAGTACTTGTTAAGTTACTACAAATAAAAGGGCAATATGAATAGATAAGGTACTTGGTATTTTATTTGATTTTGTACTTTGATGGGGGCATACCCGAGCTTCTGCTACTTTCAGAATCTTCAAGTAATAATGGGCTGGAGCGATAGCACAGCGGGTAGGGCGTTCGCCTTACAAGCGGCCAACATGGCCGACCCGAGTTCGATTTCTCCGCCCCTCTCCGAGAGCCCGGCAAGCTACCGAGAGTATTCGATATGCCAGACACAGTAACAACAAAGTCTCCAATGGAGACGTTACTGGGCCCGCTCGAGCAAATCGACGATCAACGGGAGGGCCTTTACCTTTACCTTTACCTTTACCAAGTAATAATAAAGTAATGAACAGTCATTACTTATTTTCAAAGGTATTTTTTTTAATTTAACATTGATTACTTTTTAATTTACATTTTAAAGGTTTAGGGCCAGAGAGATAGTACAGGGGTTAGATGTTTGCCACAAAAGCAGCCGACTCCACTTTGATCCCTGGCACCACCAGTGGTCCCCAAGTTCTACTGGATATGACCCAGAAACTTGAAAAATTACTCTTTTTTCCACTATCTTGGCCCTGTTCTCCCCCAGAGAGAATACTTTATTTCCTTTTGTCTAAAACTTCCTGATTCTTAAGTAACAAAATCACATTATAATTTCTATCATAACACCTAAAATTTTAGCAGTTTGTTGTTGTTGTTGTTGTTGTTGTTGTTGTTGTTGTTGTTGTTTGTGTTTGGATGTACCCAGCAATGCTCAGGGCTGAGTTATTCCTGATGGCAGTGCTCAATGAACAACATGTGGTGCTCGGGATAGAATCAGGCAGGCTGTGCACACGGCAAGCACCCTACCCTCTGTAATGTCTCTCTGTCATTCCTTAATGTCATGAAATAGTCAATGTTCAAAGCCCTACTTGCTTCTTAAATATCATGGCTTTTATATAGAACACCTAAAGAGCTACTGTTAATCTTTGATATATGTTGGAATGAAATTGTTCTAATTTTTGCACTTACCTTTTCATTTCAGTGTTGTGACATGCTGGAATGCTTGGGGATTCCCTGGGTGCAGGCACATGGAGAGGCAGAAGCCATGTGTGCTTTCCTCAATGCCAGTGGGCATGTCGATGGCTGCATCACCAATGATGGAGATGCTTTCCTCTACGGGGCCCACACTGTTTACAGGAACTTCACTATGAATATCAAGGTATTTTTTTTCCTTTGTTTTTAATCCCACATTTGTTACACAGGCTATCTTTAATAAATAAAATGCTTACTGTTATAAAAATATTGTCACATAAATTATTCTCTTTGAATGGTGGATTTCTCTCTTGAAGAATTTGACTCATCACTGACTGAATTCTAAATTATTTTTAATACCATTTCATAAAATTGTGAAAGATAGTGATACGACCCACCCAGAATTTCCACTTTCAAGTCAGTCATTATCAAAAACACCTCTATGTATGAAAAAAAGATATACAGTGTACAGGGTCTTAATTGCAAGATTGTTACTAACTCCAGTCATTGGAAAACTCAAATAAATAGCCATTGGTAAGGAATGATTAAAGGGGTCTCAGCTAGAAAGGTACTTCCAAGGTATATTTTGGTTATAACTATTAAAACTATGATAGAGTCTATTATTATGTTGTGGGTTGAAACCAGGAGCACTAAAGTTTTGCCAGATGATTCTTCTCTCATAAAATGCTGATAGTTTCCCCATTTAGAAACATTTTCTCAAAGTTCACAAAGTATAAATAGTAAGCAGTCATTAAAAAGACATGTATTGACATTAAAGACATTCAGAAATATTACTAGGCAAAAAAACTTGAAATAGTACTTTTATATAATCTGATTTTAAATTTAAAATATAGTTAATAGAAAAGATTTATATATCCTTGTTATATATCCTTGTTAAATATCTTTTTTGGAAAGCTATGCATTCATGCTATTAATAACTTTGGATATGCTTATAGTGAATGTTTACTTTTTATTGCTATACATTTTATAGTGTTTAATTTTATGAGATGAAAATGTACTTCTGTGTTAAAAAGATAAAGAGGAAATTAATTTCTGTCATTTTTTAACTATCATTTGGGTCACATGTTTGTAATAGTGCTAAAATGTGTGATTTTGCTGTACACAGTTATCACAACTCACCTCCACCATAGTGACCCAAACCCTTTACCAATGTCCTTATGTTACTGCTAGTCTTCCTCTTTTCCCTTGCCCCAACTACCCCCCTCACCCAAGGCATGCTGCCCAATTCTTCCTTGTTTTTTTTTAAGATGTGTGCTTATTATAACACCGTGTACACATAATATGGTTTATTCATGATTATTCACAATACGGCTATTTTTAAGCATGCACCAATTCCACCACCGTTGTGACCTAAGTCCACCAATATCCCCAGTTTCTCTTCTCCATCCCACTCTCCTACCTACTTAGCAGGGAGAAAACAAATTTTTTTTATATTACTCGTTCCAAGAAAACTTAGTAAATGGCAGATGCAGTTAACAGATAATAAATCCATAAAAGTCCATTTGTGATGATTGATTGCTGTATTAACCTATGTAGCACTGTAGCACTGTCCTCCCATTGTTCATCGATTTGCTTGAGCAAGCACCAGTAATGTCTCCATTGTGAGACTTGTTGTTACTGTTTTTGGCATATCAAATACGCTATAGGGAGCTTCCCAGGCTCTGCCAGGCGGACAGGATACTCTCAGTAGCTTGCTGGACGTTCTGAGAGGGACGGAGGAATCAAATCCGGGTCAGCCTCATGCAAGGCAAACACCCTACCCACTGTGCTATTGCTCCAACCCATTAACCTATATAAAAAAGAAATTAAAATTATTTAATACAAGAAAATACAGCACCTACTGATTTACATAGATTAGTTTTCAACTCTGGCGCGTCTAAAACATATTGCATTAATTTTTATTCTTTACTTGTTAATACAGTGCAGCTTATTAATAATCCTGTCTTCCCTGTAATTAATAAAACTTTTAATTCTTCACTAATATATTTTAGAGTTTACATGAAATAAGTAGAACCTACAACTGTAAAATTTAGTAAGTGAAGGAAATTGAGAAATTTAAAGGGAAAAATCTGAATGGGCCTATAAAAGTACAAAGTTTAATCTTTTTTAAGTTTAATCTTAAGAAAGCGAATATTGAAAAGAAAGAGACATAGCACATTCAATATAAATGAGATATTAATTCATTATTGAAAAAGTATAAAATCCCTTAGCAAACTATGGATATAGAAAACTATACCTTCCTAAATCTAGCAGAGAGTAACCATTAGCACCATAAGTGAATGCCAGACTCAGTATCATGTGCTGAGTTTATCCTATTCTTCAAAATGAAGCTCCTTTAAAGATTCTGGTAAAAGAGGTTTCAAGGCTATGAATTCCCTAAGCTGTTGCCTATTTCTAAAGTTTCGTGTCCTTCCATCAAATCTGAGTGATAGACTAGCTGGATAGAGTATTCCTGGTAAGATGTTCTATTTCACTGAGCTTTTATACCGTATCCCTCCATTCCCGTCTGACTCATAGACCATCCTCCTTTCATAGATCTCTGTGAGTCTTATGGGATCTCCTCTATGTAAGCTGCTTTACTGATCTTACTGCTCTCAATCCTCTCTATCTTTGGAATTTTTTTCCCCCTTGAATACAATGTATCTTGGAGATTTCCTAGTTGGATCTATTTTTCCCTGGGACCCTTTGGACCAATTGGGTCTTGGTGCCCATAATCACCAAGTCAAGGAAATTACTCTGTGATTTCTTTAAATATTATTTCATTAAATTTCCCTTCCTGGAACTGGTGAGATAGTACAGCTGGTAGGGCACTTGCTATGCATACAGCCACCTTGATCCCTCGCATCCCATATGGTCCCCTGAGCACCACCAGGAGTAATTCCTATGTGCTGGGCTAGGAATAACCCTGAAGATCACTGAGAGTGGTCCAAAATTTTTTTTAAAAATGAACAAAAAAAACTTGCCTTCCTATTCTTTTTTTGGGGGGGGGTGTGGTCACACCCAGCAATGCTCAGGGGTTACTCCCGGCTCTGCGGTGCTTGGGGTACCATATGGGATGCCAGGGATTGAACTCAGGTCAGTCACATGCAAGGCAAATGCCCTACCCGCTGTACTCTCGCTCCGGCCCCTGCCTTCCTAGTCTGAGGGACTCAGGTGATTCTTATATTGTTCCTCTTGAACTCATCTCGAAGTTGTCTGCTATTCTCAGACTGTTTTTCACTATTTGTTATTTTCTTGTGTTTCCTTCATCTTATCTTGAAGGTTCTTGATCTTTTGCTCAGCTGCTGTTAATGTACTGTTCAGAGTTTCATGTTTTGTTTTGTTTTTTTTCATTTGGGGGGACTTTTTTGTTGTTTTGTCTGGTTGGGGACCACATCTGGCTGTGCTCAGGGCTTACTCCTGGCTCTGGGATCAGAGATCTCTCCTGAAGGGCTCTGGGAACCATACAGGGAGACATAGATCAAACCTAGGTTGGCTGCATGTAAGGCAAGCACCTTACTATACTGCCACTCGGGTCCCTCTGTTGAGGTTTTTAAATTGCCTGAGTATGTGCTTCATTTCTGCTTTTCATTTTTTCATTTCAGCCCTCATTCTTCTGCACTGCTGGCTTTGCTGACTGCCTTTGCTACTGTCTCTTTGATCTTGTTAAACAGCCTCACAGTGGTGTTACCAAAGGCATTGAGGATTTACTGAGCTGGTTGGTACTGTTTGAGCCTTCAATGTTCTTGGTTTTGTTCACTGAGCTTGGTGGACTTCTAGAAGTCTTCTCCTTGGGTTTGCTGTGCTCCTGGAAAGGCCTGACAGTGTGCAAAGTTCAGGAGTGGTGGAGCTGGGCCCTTGCCCTGCTGGAGTTCGGGTGTGCTGTAGTTTATTTTTAAAGCCACTTTTGAAATGATGACTTTATTTTTGGATATCAAAGGATTAGATTTTGAAAAGTCTGGTAGTCTGGAAACTTCTGCTGTTTAAACTTAAGTAAGTAAGCACTTGAAGGAAAGATTGACAGGCTATTTTTGGTGGTGCCGCTTGGTGCATAAGTGATTGTTTTTCTTTTATTTTGTTTGGGGAGTGACCCTAGCCAGCAGTGCTCAAGGGCTGCTTGTGGCTTGGTGCCCCAGGAATTACTCCTGGTGCCAGGGATTAAACCCAGGTCTTCTGCATAAAAAGCTGCACTGCAACCCTTAAAGCAAACACTTAAACTATAAGAGTTACTATTTATTGGAGTTCTTGGGCCATACCCAGCAGTGCTCAGAGCTTACTTCTGGTGGTGCTCAGGGGACCATATGTGGTGCCAGGGATTGGACTTTGTTTGGTCACAAGTGCCTTATCTGCAGTGCTCTCACTCCAGCTCCATAACTTGGCCATTTGAGATCTTTTGGGGTTGGGGGGGTATAGGACCACACTTTGCTGTGCTCAGGTCTTACTGCTGGCTCTGTGCTCAGGAATAACCCCTCATAGTGCTTAGAGGACCATATGTGGTGTCATGTGATGTCAGGCATTGAATTCAGGTCAGCCAAGTGCTTTATCCGCTGTCCTATCTGGTCAGCCCTAAACCCAATCTATACTTTCTCCTAGGACCCACATGTTGATTGTTACACAATATCATCCATCCAGAGTAAACTTGGCTTGGATAGAGATGCTCTAGTTGGACTTGCCATACTACTTGGCTGTGATTATCTTCCAAAGGTAACCAAAATTGTTGTATTTATCATTTATATTATCTTTCATGAAAACGTGCATGCCGTATAATATAGTCACTGTATGGTTATGTGATGAATAATCCAATTTAGGGCCACAGAGATCAACACATTCAACATGATTCAATCCCTCACACCATCCCGCCTTGACCTTATTAGAGCAGCATCGTATCCTCAGGGATCTGAGACAAGAGTGCTTCAAAAATAGAGGCGGCACGTGGGACCAGTGGAGCCACAGCCTGAGTTTAATCAAGGCTGACCTTTAGCCGTGGATGGCTCCCAGCGAGCCGGTAGGGAACTCAGAGCAGACGGAAAAATGGGAGATTTTCTGTGAAGCTGGCAGCACAGCCCACCGTGACAGCCTGAAGGCCAGGGAAAAAAGGCCAGAGAATAGGATGTGAAGATCCCCAGTGGCAATTCCAGTCTTTAATCTCCTGTTTCTTGCTTGAAATTCTGGAGAAGTTCAAAGCAGCAAACACATTACCATCTCTTGAACTGGTGGCACATCCAGTTCCCTGATGGCACGCACCCCAGTGCCTTTCTGTGGCTTCAAGCATAAGGGTCACGGCGGAGGAAGGCAAATTGCACACTTGCATGCGGCTGCCCAGTGGGAGTCAGGCCTCCGTGATCCGGGTAATAGGTGCACTTCCCAACACAAGTATGTGTCTTAGTGCCTGCAGATGACCACCTCAAAACTAGAAGCAGTGAAAGTCAAGGATGCGTGTGCTTAAAGCTGCCCAGCGTGATCAGACTGGTCTTGGATTATGGGCTACCCAGAAACGAGAAAGGGCCCAGGTTCTTGGTCCTGCATGGATACAGGCCCGAGTAACCGGGAGAATGGTCACAGGGCAACACAAAATGAAAAGTGGGCTGAGATCATCCTTCAGGAGGAACACCATCAGTTGGTACATAGGGCAACCAGAACAGACATGTGAATAGGAATATAACAGCCACCATCACGACACAGGATGTGAGAGCTCCTAGCTGTCAGTCAGGACTCCTCAAGACAGGAACTCAGGCACTTTGGGGCAACTCTGAGCTAAGGATTAGATTCTGATCTAAATGACACCCATGGGTTCACCCCTGCGTCACCAGCCACCTGCTTTAGAGCTGGTGAAGGAGCATCCTGGGCTGTAAGAAATCAGTAAAGTCACAGGCCAGCTGGGTCCCGTGAACCCAAGAAACAGATCACTGTTGACAGCATCTCAGAGCTCCAATCCTTAGTTCTCAGGCATCACCAGAATTAACAAAACAAAACAGAAAATGGGAGAATTCAGCACCGCACCAGTACATTGTGACGAAAGTCAAAAAAAAAAAAACCTCACAACTGCTTCAGATCTTTCTAAGCTGCTGGAAGAAGACTTTAGCAAAGCAATCTTTTCATGGAGAAACATGAAAGAATCATTCAGAATCAGCTTGAAGAGATTCTGATAGGAAAAATAAAACCACTCATTCAAGGAGAAGCGAAGGCACCAAAAAATATAGTGTCAAGAATGAGTGAAACTGAAATTAAATCAGTGACCTTGAAGACAAAGTACTCAACTCTGGCAATAAAGTAGATGTAATTGAAAAGAAACTGATATTTAAAAACAATGAAGAAGGACTGGAGCAGTAGCACAGAGGGTAGGGCGTTTGCCTTGCACACGGCCAACCTGGGTTCGATTCCCAGCGTCCCATATGGTCCCCTGAGCACTGCCAGGGGTAATTCCTGAGTGCAGAGCCAGGAGTAACTCCTGTGTATCTCCAGGTGTGGCCCAAAAAGCAGAATAATAATAATAATAATAATAATGAAGAGATATTGAGGCCAGAGTGATAGCACAGTGCACAGGGCATTTGCCTTGAACAGGGCCAACCAGGGTTTGCTCCCTGGCACCCCACATGGTTCACTGAGCGCCCGCCCCCCCCCCCCCCAGAAGTGATCCCTGAGCACAGAACGAGGATTAAGCCCTGATAGGATTTCCAGAAATAGAGGAAAGAGGAAAAGGGGGGGTCAAATAGCTGGTTGAAGAAAAAATAGTTTAGAGTATCCCCCTTAGAAACAAGAAACAAGAAAACTTGTTTCTCTTTGGAAGAGACTATTGCAGGTCCAAAGAGTGCCAGTCGGAGTCAACTGCAAGGGAACAGCGCCTTGCCTCTTAGCAGTGCCCTGAGCTTTGTTCAAGAAAACCTTTTAGTGGCCAGAGTGATTGTACAGCAGGTAGGGCATTTGACTTGCATCCGCCGACCCAGGTTCGATCCCCAGCATCCCATATGGTCCCCTAAGCACTGCCAGGAGTAGTTCCTGAGTGCAGAGCGAGGAACAACCGCTGAGCATCGCTGGGTATGACCCAAAAAGCGAAAAAAAAAAAGGAAAAGAAAAACGAAAACTTTTTATTTATATCAGAAAATGAACAATATGTTATACTGTAACAGATAGGTAAGAGATGATTTGAGAATGATAAGGATAATCCAATTTTCTTAAATATAATGTTTAAATGTTTCAAATGACTTGTAATTCTCACTATGTAGCCCCATCATTCTGTTCTTTATGATCATCTCTTTATCTTCACAGAATCCCTTAAACTAAGTTTTTCGTTTGTTTTTGGGTCATACCACTCAGCAGAGTTCAAGGCTTGCTCCTGCCTCTGCACTCAGGATCACTCGTGAAGGGCTCAGGAACCATATGGGGTGCTGAGAATCAAACTCGGGTCAGCAGCATGTAAGGCAAGTGCCCTTCCTGCTGTACTATCTCTCTGGCCCCCCTTATACTTTCTATGTTTTCTACATTTCTGTACTGTCTATATTTCCTGTAGTCCAGAGAACTCTAAAGAGTGGCATGGCTTTGTTTCACTTGAGTGTAGGAGCAATGAAGTTGACAGTAAAATTACTAACTGTCTCAGCGTAGCACTGTCCTCCCATTGTTCATCAATTTGCTTGAGCAGGCACCGGTAATGTCTTCATTGTGAGACTTGTTGTTACTGTTTTTGGCATATCGAATATGCCACAGGGAGCTTGCCAGGCTCTGCCGTGAGAGCAGCATACTCGGTAGTTTACCGGGCTCTCTGAGAGGGATAGAGGAATCGAACCTGGGTCAGCCACATGCAAGGCAAACACCCTACCGCTGTGCTGTCGCTCCAGCCCCAAATTATTAACTAATTTCTAATTAGTTACCAGTGGACAAATAGATCAATTTTTGTTTTATGTTTATTTTGGTGTTTTGGTTTTTTTTTGGAAGTGGGGGGAGGGCATATCCAGCAGTGCTCAAGAGCTGTTTCTGGCTGTGTTCAGAAGTGATTACTAGGAGAGAGTAATTACTTGCTGCCTGCAGGTGACCTCAGGTCAGGTCCCAGATCCCTTGAGGACCACCAGGAGTCACTTCTTAGCATAATGCCAGGAAGAGCTCCTGAGCATTGCCTCACCACCCCTGCCTGCACCCCATTTTTTAAGAGAGCAAGGGAAAAGAAACTTCTAAATAATATGGAAAGTAATTATAATTATTCCAAAACAGAAGGCCTCATATTTCTCATGTTATATAATAAAGTCCAGAAATAACCCATTGTTAAATTTAAAGGAAACCCTGAATTCACAGAAATCTAGCAATAAAGGTGTTACATTATACATTTTGCCTTGACTATTTTAATGTTTAGCATCCTTTGTCACCAGAAGTACTGTTATATGCATTGTCCTACTTAAAGTTTTTAAGGCTGTGTACTAACTTGATATATCATCAAAAAATTGAAGATTTTGTTCAATGCTTATAAATAAAAGGAATAAATATCTACCAACAAATACCAAAGACAGGCTGGAGACATGTCATCAGCTCCTGGTGAGCTATGTTGTGCCACTTGCTAATTTTTAGTTACTAGGATTTTTTGTTTTGTTTTGCTGTGCAGTGTGCCTTGTACATCTTTTCCTAATCCTACTTATAGAGTTAACTTGTTTTTCTATGGGGGCAGAGGGTGGGACCACTATCTGTGGTTTTGGAGTTGTTGGAATGCTTCCATGCTTCAAAGGCGATTCCCTTGCTATTTCTTTGAATGAAATAAAATAATGCTGAATAATCATTTTCACTGAATCATTAATAAATGGCAGCTTCAGTTGATTCATTCCCTGAGGATTAATATTGAAATTTCTTCCCTCATTTTCTTCAAGGGAGTCCCTGGAGTTGGAAAAGAACAAGCATTAAAACTTACCAGGATTTTGAAAGGGCAGAGTTTACTTCAGAGGTAACTAAAATTTACTTTTGCTTATGACATAGAACTTCTATTTTTATTGAATTTAATAGTGAATTTTTCCCAAATATTATCTTTCAAAAAAAGAGAGCTTTTACTTTTACACTGTAGTTTAATGTACCGTTCCGCTTAAAATAACTTATTTATATTTAACTGGAAGTTTTCCAAAGAGAGTATGTGTCCTAAGCTATACTGTATTGTTTCGGTATTAGTAGTTCATCACAAACACAAATAGTTAGATGTCAGATGAATTTATTTATAATTATGGACATTTGTCACAGGCTTTTAGATTATTTACCAAGTAAATATAAACATAAGTCTATAAAATAAATTGACAATACATTTTCTATAGATGAAATGACTGCAGTGTTGCAAATATTTAATAGGTATCACGTGATAAAAAATTGTATTTAATTATTCTTTATCCTATAGCCACAGATGAATTTAACCCAAGATACAGAATATAGTGCTATTTACAAATAGTGCTCTTTCCCATTTCAAAAGTGCGAATTATATTGACTTGATGAAAGCAATGGTCTATAAAAATTAATTTAAATGATGATAAGGTATAGAGTGAATAAGAAGGAAATAAAGTTGGAAGCTGATATACTTAAAATAATTTTGCCTCCAATAGTTTGAGATGGTGACTACATAAAAGGAAATAATTGAGTGGTAGAAATGAAAAAGGAATTGTATGACCGAGACTTAAACCTGAAAGCTTTGTAACTGTTCATGGTGATTCAATTAAAAAATAAATAAATAAATAAAAATGAGAAAGGAATAAACTTTAAAAGGATTTTGAGGGCGAGAGAGAGATAGTATAGAACGAAAGGTGCTTGTCTTGTATGAGGCAGACCTACCCTAGTTCATTTTCTGGGATTATGAAAGGTCCCCTGAACATTTTGGATATGCCCCCCCCCCCAACAACTCCAAAACAGGATTTTTAATTACTGTTCTCTTTCCTATAACACTTCTCTTTCAGCTATAAAATTACAAGGTTTTAAGGCTTCAGTAAATCTATTTTTAGGGCCAGAGAGTAATATAGGAGGTAAGGCATTTCCATTACTTTTGGCAACATTTTTTAAAATGCTTTCTTAATATTTAAAACTAATGCAATTGCCTTTTTGTTACCTGGAATTCTAACTTTTATTAAGTGTGTGTGTGGAGGGGGGGAGGAGAGACTTATTTTATAATTCATTTTTTCTTAAAGTCATTTATTGAATAGGTAATGTTTTGTTTGCATAAGAAGGGAAAAAAATATCATTTCAAGTCATCTTGGTTTTAAATTTTTACCCAGAAGCTTAATGTTATTATTCTTAATCCTTTTTGATACAGATAAATAATACTTACAAAATAATTTCTGTTTATTTTGTACATAAGAAAAAGATAAAGGACATGCTCAAATTATTTTCCCCACATACTGCTGCCTAATTTAAGGTAATTTTTCTTTTCAAAGACTGAATGAATGTATGAATACACATTTAAGTATATACACTTAATACATTTCTCTCACCCCCACACCCCTATTGTAATTCTGCTGTCTTAGGGACCACATTTAAAAGTTGTAGTACATAAATTGAGAATTTTCTGAGGTTGAGCCAACAACCTTGTTTACTACCAAGGAGAAGATAAGAGGGTGATTAGAAGGGAATGGACTTGCCTGACATTTGGAAATGTGACATTTTGGTGACCTACTTGTGCATTTTTTTCCTTTTTAAAGTTTTTTTTTTTTTTTAAGGTTTGATCGGTGGAATGAAAAATCATGTTACTCTGATCCACAACCACCAGTCATTAAAAAATTGGCTCATTGCTCTGTGTGTTCTCATCCAGGTAAGCTTGTTTCAGAAATGGACAGTTACAGTTTAGGTTTCTGATACTCATATTTTTATTCCTCTTTTTTTTTTTTAATAGGACTTTTTATTTACCTAGCTTTCTCACTAGATTAGGACTCCTGGGCGATAACATACAAATAGCATGTCACATGTTCCTCAGTGTATATGATGAAATAATGTATCTCTTTTTGTTGTTTTTGTCCTGATTAGGAGGTTGGGGTGAGCTGTGCTCAGGGATCACTCCTGGGAGCGTTCTGGGAACATATGCTGTGCCAAGAGATTGATTGGGGGTTGACCCATGCCACACAAGTGCCTTAACCCCTATACTATCTCTCCAGCCTAAATAATGTGATGTAAATGATAAACAGGAATAATATAGTTAACATAGTTTAACTATAGTTACAAACTATAATGCCAACAGACGTAGGATAAATATAATTAAAATAGTTTATAGTTTCAAGCTATTATGCCAAATTACTGAAATTGCATCTTCAGATGTCAGGGAGGGGGAGGACAGCTTGTTTGGGGACTGCAGCGGCAGTGCTTAGGGAACCACATCACTCCTTGCAGTGCTGGGGAAGGGATCAAATCTACGACTTCTGCTCACAGTGCATGTGCTTCAGCCTGTAGAGCAAGCTCCCTGGCCCTAAAACTAAGTTTTCCATAAAAAACAAAGCCCATTTTCCGATAAGCATGTTTTACTTAGAAAGCTTAAGAAAAAATAGAACTGAAACCATTTGTTTTTTAACAGTAATGTATGTTTATACACAATATATGTAAATAATAATTGTTTAACAACGTGTGATTTAAATGATAGTGACAAATAAGATAATAACTTAAAACTAATTTCTTGTATATGTTCACTTGTTTGAAAATGGTTTGAATCTTTATGGTGATTTTTTTAAAAAGCCTGATATGTTCTAGGTCAGAAGCCCCATAGAGATTGGGAGATCCTGTTACCTCATCTTTTAAAAGAAATGATGGACTGGAGCTAGAGTATAGCAGAGAGGCCAGTTACCTTGCAGGAAGCCAACTGGATACAATCCCTGACTCCCCATATGGTCCCTTGAGCTCTACCAGGAGTGATTCCTAAATGCAGAACCAGGAGTAAACTCTGAGCACCACTGGGTGTGGCCAAAAAAACAAAAAGAAGAAAGAAAAAAATTCCTATTTATTTGTCTTTTTTTTTTCACTAACCTCATTAAATTATAGATGAAATCATAAAGTGTTACATAGATGAGATGCATTCTGTAGTTTTTTTTTCTTATAAATGATGGTTTTCATTCATAGATTTTGTATGCTCTTTCATTTTGAAAGAGGGGCTCTTCATTTTGAAGAGGAGCTGGAGAGATAGCACAGCGGGTAGGGCATTTGCCTTGCACGCAGCCGACCCGGGTTCGATTCCCAGCATCCCATATGTTCCTCTGAGCACCACCAGGAGTAACTCCTGAGTGCAAAGCCAGGAGTAACCCCTGTGCATTGCTGGGTGTGACCCCAAAAAAAAAAAAATTGTTGAAGATGATTTTGCTTTCCATTTGAGGTGTTCAAACTTGGGCCCTACACTCAAGCCAAAGTCATAATTTGTTCATATCTCAAACATAGTTTAAAACTAGCAGTAGAAGTAAGTGAGAATCAACCGCTAGCAGGGGTAATTAACTAATATAATCTTTTAATATTCTCACTAAAGAAATCATTTCATGAGTCATTCTATATAATTTTTTCCATATAATAATTACATCCTGGGCTGGAGCGATAGCACAGCGGTAGGGCGTTTGCCTTGCACGCAGCCAACATGGCCGACCCGAGTTTGATTCCTCCGCCCCTCTCGGAGAGCCCGGCAAGCTACCGAGAGTATCTCGCCCGCACGGCAGAGCCTGGCAAGCCACCCGTGATGTATTCGATATGCCAAACACAGTAACAACAAAATCTCCAATGGAGACGTTACTGGGCCCGCTCGAGCAAATCGATGAACAATGGGAGGGCCTTTACTTACTTTACTTAATTACATCCTACTTTTATATGCTGTCAATTAACCAGTTTTCCAATATTGATTATCATAATAGTATGATTTCAAGTTGTAAACTGTTTGATATAGAAGAGTAATTTATAATTCCAAAAATATTAGTGTCATATAGGATACTAACAACTGAAGTTTAACTTTGCTCTAAGAATTCCTCTAGTAGTCATTATCCTATTCGACTTAAAAATAGTGAAATCAGGCCTAGAGAGATAGTACCAGGAGTAAGGTTCTTGCCTTGCACACAGCTGACCCCAGTTTGATCCCTGGAATTGCATATGGTCACCCAAGCACTACCAGGAAAGAGCACAGAACCAGGAGTAAGGCCTGAGCACCTCCAGAACACAAATAAATAGATAAGAAAGAGACTGAAACCATATTTCTTTGTCTCTTAATCAGGTTCCCCTAAGGATCATGAACGTAATGGATGCAAATTATGCAAGAGTGACCGATATTGCGAGCCGCATGATTATGATTACTGCTGTCCCTGTGAGTGGCACCAAACAGAGCACGACAGGCAGCTCCAGGCAGTAGAGACTGCTATTAAGAAGTAAGGTATTTGGGTCTCTCTTGTTTTCTTACCTCTTTTTCTGGCATCACCTAATTATACACCTGTGGCTGGACTGTCTTCACATAATTTTTTCGTCATCATTAGCAGCATTTCACAAAATCCTTACTTGATTTGGTTTTCTAAAAAATTAACTCTCAAAAGATTACAGTTTAATATTTACGTAAAGCTAATCTTAAAGACTATGATATGATCCAAGAGTAGTTCTTATTAAATCACATGGGATGATTTCAGAGTTTATCTAAATTTTCCTGCCGGAATTGATAACATATGTAATTTATTTTCAGAAAAGCATGCAGTTGTGAGGGTTTCCCATTCCACGAGGTAATAACTAGTACTTCAAATATATATTTATTTCAGAAGCTCTCTGTAATAACTTGAATAAATTATAAACTCAATTCCTATTTTCATTTTCTCTTGCTAGGTTATTCAAGAATTCCTTCTGAACAAGGATAAGTTGGTAAAGGAAATTAAGTACACAAGACCTGATTTATTATTGTTTCAGGTATTTAAAAAAATATTTATTTTTTTCTGTATGAAGTTAGATACCTGGAAGATAAGCGTTGTCACTTGTTATTCTGAGAAGTTTAAATAGACAACTATTGAATGCCCATGTAATTTTAATATTTTTTTTCTAATTTTTTTACTTTGCTTACAGAAACCATACATTTAAGATCATAAAACAAATCTTAATTTTGTAGACATATTAAATGCTACATACAGATATATTCAGGTTTATTTTAAGAGAGAAGGGCTTACAATCAAAAAACATTAGCATAACTTATGTTATTATGAAAGGCAATATAGTTTTCAAAGGCATTATTATTGTAATTAGTAACTTTTTTTTTTTTTTTTTTTTGCTTTTTGGGTCACACCCGGCGCTGCACAGGGGTTACTCCTGACTCTGCACTCAGGAATTACCCCTGGCGGTACTCAGGGGACCATATGGGATGCTGGGAATCGAACCCGGAATGGCTGAGTGCAAAGCAAACGCCCTACCCACTGTGCTATCTCTCCAGCCCCAATTAGTGACAAATTTGACTTTTGGCAGCCTATCATTATCTTGTAACTTTATGTGTTTTTATTGACAAAATAGAAATGATATTAAAAAAGTCATTCTGAGGATTAAATGTTATTATATCAATTTTACATCAATAAACTTTCTATTGGTGAAGTGAGTAGTGAAGTAGTTGCTTATCCCTACCAAAAATAGTAATAAAATGTCAACCAATATGTATTGAACATTTAAAATTTGATATTAAATAGCTAATATTACATGTAACCTCATTTAATTCTCATTATATGAGTTGGACTATATTTTGAGAAGAAAGACCTGAGATTAAAACAAGTTACATAATTTTCCCACCATCTGGGAAATATACTGGAATTCAAACAATATTATGCAATATTGTGTCCTGAGGAAACTTTGGGACTTTCTCATGGCTCTACTTCAATTAATGTGAATTTTTTTTTTTTTATTTATTTACTGAATCACTGTGAGAAAAGTTACAAAGCTTTCAGGTTTAAGTCTCGGTCATGCAATGATCAAACACATTTCCCCTCACCAATACTTATTTTTCACCACCAAGAACCCCAATATAGCCCCCTCTCGCTTCTCCCAATGACTGTGAGGCACATGAATTCCAATTAGCACTCTATCTACTTTGATTAGATTCATTGTTTCGGCAAAAGATGCACCATTATTGTTTATAGAGTTTACACCCCAAAATCAGACCTGCTGAAAAGGCATTGTGAAATAATTTATTCTCTAAAGCTGGTTACAAGAACCAAGTGATGTCGCACAGCTGTGATAGTGGCTGTGCGATTTTGGATTTCTGATATTTTACTTATTAAGCCTGGAAGTATTTCTGCTGAGAGCCAGATAATTATGAGATTGGTTTCTGTGGCTCTGGAGACATGGTACCGTGGATTAACGCATAGTCCATTCAGTTTTCTGCCGCAAGCTGCCGGGCTCTGCAATTTAATGTGAATTCTGAGGGTGAAAAAAAAAATATCACTTCAGACTTCATTTTATCTCCAAGAGATTAAAAAAAATATTTTTTTTATTTTTTTACAGAGATTTGCATTGGAAAAAATGGACTGGCCCAATTCCTATGCATGTGAAAAATTGTTAGTACTTTTGACTCACTATGACATGATTGAAAGAAAACTTGGTAGAAGGAACTCAAATCAACTACAGCCTATTCGGTAATATGAAAAGTATATGAAGAAATCTCTTGTTTCTATTTGATCATAGTTTCTTATTTTAAAGTGCTGTCTTTCACAGTGAGATATGTACCTCTTTAATAAAAATGAAGAAAGAATCCAATGGAGTATTAAAAGCTTATTTAAGGCTTATAATTAGATCTTGTTTTGGCACACCTTTATGCATCAAACTTTAGTAGTAATACATTGCTGAAATAAATAGGTCAGAGTGAAATGAACGCGTGAAGTGACTGGAGGAAGTGAAACTGAGAATGAATTACAGTGAAGGGGCTGTGTGTCACAGTGTACTATTATAACTTTCTAGAGGTTTCAAAAACTTTTGAGTAAAATGATTGCTATGGGGCTGGAATGATAGCACAGCAGATAGGGCATTTGCCTTGCACTCAGCCGACCCGGGTTCAATTCCCAGCATCCCATATGGTCCCCTGAGCACCGCCAAGAGTAATTCCTGAGTGCAGAGCCAGGGGTAACCCCTATGCATCGCCAGGTGTGACCCAAAAAGGAAAAAAAATGGTTGGTGAGGGGGCTGGAGTGATAGTATGGAGTGATAGTACAGCGGGTAGGGTGTTTGCCTTGCATGTGACTGACCCGGGTTCCATCCCCAGCATCCCATATGGTCCCCCAAGCACCACCAGGAGTAATTCCTGAGTGCAGAGCCAGGAATAACCATAAGCATCACTGGATGCGACCCAAAAAGCAAAAATAAGTAAGTAAATAAAGATTGGTGAGGGCCATGCAAGGGTGCTAGACAGATAGCACAGAGGGCTGGAGTGCATGCCGGAGCCCTGGGTTCAATCCCTGGCACTGTATGGTCCTCCTAGCACCACTGGGGCTGAAGAACTGGAGAACGTTTGGAAGAGGGGCAGAGAGATTAGGGGATCACCACACACACACACACACACACACACACACACACACACACACACTCACACACACACTCACACGTGCACAAACATATAACACTTGGAGCAAAGTTCCAAAGAGACAGCCTCCAAAGAGAGGACATACTCAGTACACACATCTTTCCTGATGGTATATATGTGCCAGAAAATGCTGGAGTTATTTCAAAGCTTTGAGCAAAACGAATTGACAGCCAAGACATACTTAAAACATTTTTCACTATGAAGATATTTCAGGCATATGAAGACTTAAAAGTTTTTCGAATTTTGGGGTGTGGAGTTGTGAGGGACCACACCTGGTGATACTCAAGGTCTACTCCTAGGCTGATACTCGGGTGTGGCCATGTGGTACCAGAGATCAAACCTGGACCTCCCGCATGCAGGACATGCTCTAGCCCTTTGAGCCATCTCCCTGGTCCCGAGACTAAGAATTTATCACTCAGGCCTTTATCACTGTCAAAGGATGTATATCAACAAGAAGGATAATTGGCCCAGAGAGGTATGGATTCTGAGATGATCAGCATAGAAATTGATCACATATACTTTAGGTAATTTGATGAAGTGATTAGAAGATATAGGTATCTTCATAGTGTTGCTAACATGCATGGTCATCCAAACGTTACGTTAAATAGTAAAGTAAAACTATTAAGTGAAAAGAATACAAGAAGGCAAATGTTGAGGAACATTTCTTGCCAACCTGAAGATTTACAATTGAGTCCATCTATATCATTAATTTTAATATAACTGAATTAGACTCATCTATTAAAGGACATATAATATTGGATGAATTTTTTAAAAAATCAGTATTCTCCTATTGGCATGTGCAGAATGAAACGAAAGTCTGAAAGTGAGGAGACAGTTGCCATGCAAATGTGTACCAAAGTGATGTAGCAAAAGTAACAGAAACACAATAGAGTTTAAAACAAAAATATGTGGGGCCTGGGAGACAGAGGGGTAGTACAGTAGTTAACTCATTTGTCTTACATGCAGCTATCCCCCGTTCAGTTCCTGTCACCATACACACAGTCCCCTGAGAACTTCCATAAGTGATCTCTGAGAGAACCAAGTATAAACCCTGAGCATTGCCAGATATGGTCCCAAAACATTAAATAAGTAAACAATAATGTGGGAAAGAAAACTTCTCAATGAAAGAAACTATGTCTGTGAATACAAGGAGCTGACAGTTATAATTTGTGTGTAGCTGACAATAAAATTGTCTCTTAAACTTTCAAAGAAATGCACTATGGAGTAATTTTGTATTTTATATTATAGTAAAAATAGAATTAAAGTTAGTGAAAATTTCATTAGCTGAATTTGTTTTTCAGAATCATTAAAACCAGAATTAGAAATGGAGTTCGTTGCTTTGAAGTAGAATGGGAAAAGCCTGGTATGTATATAAATTTAATAGGCCACTTTAAGCAAAATTTATATTTGACTATACATATTTAATAAGTATTATAAATGTAAAAACATATGTGTGTATATAAAAAAATTAACATTTTATTTTGTTTTGGGGCCAGCTGTGCTCAGGGCTTACTCCCACTCTGCACTCAGCGATCACTCCTGGTGGGCTCTGAGGACTATATGTGATATTCAGAATTGAACTGTGTTGGTTACTACAAGACAAATGCCTTAGCCTCTATACTGTCTCTACAAATCCTAAAACAAAATCACTTTTATATGCACTGAGGATTAATTTCTTGGTTTGTTTGTGTCGTTTAAATGGCTCTGACATGATACATGGGAAAAACTTTAATTTTAATGTTTTAAATAGCTATTTCTTTTATGATTAATAGTAAAGAAAACAATATGGAAATAGTTTGATTTCTGTTTCTCAGGAAAAGACTTCTGATAGTGATCTAAGTCATTGATAGTTTAGCTGGATCTAAAGAAATCAAGGTTACGAATAGTACTGGAATGCTGTTCCTTTTCTGACTTTACTCTTTGTCATTTAAAGGTGAATTTGTTGGGGCTGGAGTGATAGCAGAGCGGGTAGGACATTTGCCTTGCACGTGGCCCACCCAGGTTCAATTCCCAGCATCCCATATGATCCCCTGAGCACCGCTAGGAGTGATTCCTGAGTGCAAAAGCCAGGAGTAGCCCCTGAGCATAGCCAGGTGTGACCCCCCCCAAAAAAAAGGTGAATTTGTTGTTAAATTTTTATTATTTTGCTAGAGACAGAATATCCGTGAACTCTGTAATACCTCCAGAACTAAAGGCAAGAAAATCACCTGCCATTGAAAAATGGAAATAATCCTAGATTTATTTCTCTTTGGTTTTGAATTAGATTGTGTGATTATATTTGAAAGAGTATGGGATTATATTTCTTCATTAAAAATTAAAGAACCAAATTACAGAAAAATAGGTTGGAAAGATAGTGCGGCGGAAACTAGACCTCTGGCCGCATTTCAAACAGATTAACAGCAGCCGAGCAGGGGCTGCCAGGGCAGCTGGTCTGGGCTCCTTGATGGAGCCAGGAATGCATTCAGGGTGTCCTTGAGATGCTCATAATTTCGCTTTGGAACTGGAATGTGCTCCAGATGTGCTAATGTCCTTGAGAAAGTCTCGACCTTGCTTTGTAAATGACCTGCTTGAGAATTGTTATTTCCATACTCTCCCACCAGCTGCTCGCAAATACCCATCCCTGCCCCCTGCCCCCCATCAGATACCCTATAAAATGAACTTCTAATCTTATTCTGGGGCCCAATCGCAAGACCCACTAGGTCTGCAGGTGAAATGAAGCACCTGAGGCCTCCCAGTTCTCAGCATGCAGCTTGGATTTTCTCTAGCCTGTGTTGCTCATATCTGCAGTGATAGTTCCAAGGGCTGGGTACCTGCTTTGCATGGACCCTGGCACCACACGATCTTCAAACAGACCCAGTAATGGAACCCTAAAATCTGGGAGTAGTCCCTGAGCACCACCAAGCATGGTGGGAGAGAGGAAGAGAGAGGAGGAGGGAGGGAGGGAGGGGGGGGGGAGGGGCGGAGGGAGACAGAGAAAGAGAGACATAGAGCTTTCTAAGCAATAGTAGGAAAGTGTATTTTCAAAAAAGAAAACAGCACATTAACCCAGTTTGGCAGTGCCTCTCCTCTACAGTCTACAACTGAGCCCTAGGTACCCACTTTTATTTATCTTTGTGGGACTAAACAAATTAAGCCCAATTAACAAAGAAACTCTTTAGGGACCACCTGTTTACATTATTTCTGTTTTATACTCATCAACTAATATTTTCTTGATTATTTGATTTCTCCTACAGTGTTGTCCTCAAAGAATAATATACGAATCTAAATCTAATTTGAATATTTTATAATAAATGTAATATACAGTCATTTTTATCAGCCATGTATGAATCCAGTAAGCCCATGTATATACCATCAAGAGGCCTCTGAAATGACTCTCTGGAAGATGGAAATCTTTTGGTGCCCTTTTCAGTTCTACTGTTTTCAAAAGCCGCCACTGAAGAAAGCTAATACTAAAGTTTTAGAAAAACTCTTCCAGTTCTGGTTCTGAATTTCTAACACTTACTAAACTACATTTAAGCAGCTAACTTTATCTAAACAAAATTTACCTGCCTTCAAGGTGCTTCTACTATGGCTGAAGCTAGATATTTTAAAATTCTTGTTTTAAAATTTTCCTTCATGGACTGGTGTACAGTGAGCAAAGCAGGTATTGCATGCAGCGATCCCAGGTTTGATCCTTGATACCCCATAGAGCTCCCTAAACCCCACCAGGAGTGATCCCTGAACACTCCTGGGTGTGGCACAGAAGGAAAACAAATTTTCCTTCAAGTTCTTCTTGTCAGGTAGAAGTTGATTCTATACTAGTATTAAAGATTATTAGACTAATTATGTTGCAAAGCAAGATGTGCTATTATCATTTGTATATTCCTGAGTTTACAAAGTAATTCCCCCAATTTGTTCAGTCTCTAAGTCATTCAGTTAAGTCTTTAAGGCCATTTTACTCTTATTTTTGATCTTTTAGAATATTATGCTATGGAAGATAAACCTGAAGAATTTGATCTACAAACAATAGAAGAAGAATCATTGTTTAACGCAGCTTATCCAGAGATTGTTGCTGTTTATCAAAAACAGAAATTAGAAATCAAAGGGAAGAAACAAAACAGTAAGTATCATGTTTGATTGCCGTTTGTGTCATACAAAAATGTCATAGAACAACCACCTATTCTGTTTTAACCTGTCTTGTCTAATTTTGAAGGAATATTTGCTTCGTTTTTAAAAACTTTTAAAGTTAAAAAGCCAAGAGTAAACCATTCTTATCTACAACTGCTAATTTAACTGAGGATAAGTAATGGAAATATTAATCACTTATTAAGCCACTGAGATTTACAATGTATTTGTTTCAAAAAGAAAATATTTTGCATTATTTTTCTTTATAACGCATCCAGTTTCTAGCAAAGCACAAGTCTGAAAAGGCCAAAATTGTTCATAAGAAAGTTTCCGATCTGAATCCCTTAGTTTATTTGCTTATTCAAGTTAACAAAAACAAAACAGGTATTAATTATATGGCTTTTTTTTTCTTTTCAGGCAAGAAAATTAAACCTAAGAAAATCAGTTTGCTAGACTCAGATGAGATGAATTTTCAGTCACACATGACTTCAAAACTCACAAGTGAAATTATTTCTAAACAGAATTGTAAGTTCAATTGGGAAATTCCCCCTGATTCTCCATCAGTCCTGGAATCAATACCTGCATCATTGAATAATTTAATTTTACCTGAAGATACTCCCTGTTTGGATACACAAGAACAGTTAAAGTCCTCTCAGAGACCTTTGGCTATGGAGCAAATTAAAGCTGTTAGTGAATCTCTAATTTCAGAATCTAATCAATCTAATGCCTGCTTCCAAAATACATCAGTGATTGCTGAGTTACATTTGAGCACCATTGACTGGGAAGGCACTTCTTTCAGTAATTCTCCAGCTCTTCCAAGGGACACTTTATCTCCAGGTTTAAAATCAGAACTTAGAACTGCCAGTTCTGATATCTTTAAAAATATCCCAGAGAAATTTTCATGTAACTCAGAATGCTACAGCACCAAGAATAATGAGATGCTGAATTGGAAGCTTCAAAACACAAATTCCGAAGAACATCTTCTTTCTGGCATCGCTGATTTACATCTTCAGGATTTGCCTTTAAAAGAACGAATATATAAAAAGTTATCACATCCTCAGGATTATGTGCAAGTGAATGTTGATCTGAAAACTTTGTCCTCATTTAATGTGAAAGAATGTTGTTTTGCTAGTAGCCATTCTGATTGTCCATCATATATGTCAAAGGCTCCTCTAGGAACTGACTTACAGAATGAATCTAGAAATTCTAAGATCCTCGAAGGAGACCACCTGTTTCAAGAACACTCTAATATGAGTACTTATATACCTTACTCAGTCAGTAACCTTATAGAAAAGACCTCCAGTGTTGGACTTGAATCCCCACATGCTACATTAGATCACGGTGGGAAAGTTGCTGTGCAAAGTGTTCAGGAAATTATCACAAAGAAGAGTGTTTGCCTTGAGAGACATTCTTCTGATGAAGAAAGTGCCCCAACGTTTGGGAAAGTGAAGCACATAACTCAAAAAACAAAGCAGAGCTCTGAGAAGAATAACCTACGTCAGCTCCAGAAAAGGGATGCCAATAACTTGAATAACTGTGAGATACGTATTAAAGAAACTGAACATTGTGTCCAGGCATATAAAACCACTGGGAATGAGCAAAACTGTTTTCCAGAGGCAGCGAAAGATTCTCTGGGTTCCCTCCACTGTGATAAGGGAAAAAATGACTCTGGAAATTGTTTGGATAGTCCTCTTCCTTTATATGAGCGATTAAAGCTAAGATTCAAAAACACTTGAAGTGAAATTAGAAATACTTTAAGTATTTATGTATGTATTACATAATTTAGCATGATCAGTTTGACTTTAAAAAAATTTTTAATGTTCTATTATATTTCATGAAATGCTTTTACTGTTTTACTCAGAATAATAAATATTACCTAAAACTTTATTTTTATGGTGAGAACTTTAGATACGTATTTTCAGCTTATAATACTTTTGTCTTTTAAAAATCTTTATCAGGCTTGGTCTTAAACATGTGTCTCATTTTTGCTTATCTCTGTTTCTTTGCTTATTTCCACTCTGAAGAAGTCTGTGTTCTTGCTTAAACATATTTTCTGTCTTTATCTCCTCTCACATATTTCTAAGCAAGTTTCATTCAATAAAAACTATCTTGCTTCATAAACCAAAAAAATCTCTATTAGGGTCTGGAGTGATAGTACAGTGGATAGGGCCTTACACGCAGCCAACCCAGGTTCGATTCCCAACATCCCACATGGTCCTCCAAGTACTTCCAGGAGTAATTCCTGAGTTCAGAGCCAGGAGTAACCCAGAGCATCACCGGATGTGACCCAAAAAAGCAAAAAAAAGAAAAATCTTTATTAGTTATTTTCAACCATAGCTCTAAAATGTTAGAACAGTATCTGACAAAATAAGTGCTTCATCTATTTATTCTGTTTTACTAATTTCTTTCATAAACCTCTAAAGTATTTCTTTATAATTTATCTTGTTCCCAAGAGGTAACTTTATTATTGCCTACATTTCCACGTGTTTATATTGTGCCCTTTCTAAAACTTACATTTTTCTCTCACTGTGAAGATGCTTTTAGGGTGTTCTGGTCTGATGACCTTCTCTTTCATGAGAAGCAAAAATAGAAAAAAATCAATAAATGTAAAAATTATGGTTGTAATGGTTAAATAAACAGGAAAGCTATTCTTTTACTTCCCCAGAAGTTCACAGGTTTGCCAAGTCAAAAAAGTTTTAGAAAATAGAATGTATTATCAGAAGATTAGAAACTTATTTAGGATCACATGTTTAGTGACAGTATAAAAGCCAAATTTCCTTCATTATTAATTGGCTTTTCTGTTGTCTTTTTCTTCTATAGTATGTTATCTTTACCTGTTATTTTCAAATGAACTGTATGGGGTGGAGATAGAGCACAAAAGACCACATGCCTCGCATCAGCGTGCCCCTGAGTTTGGTAATCTACCATCACTTGTCTCCCTGCTGGCTTTAAGCCCTTAACCGCCACCATAAAAAAAAAATGAATCTATATGAAACCAATTTCAGTACTTCCTGTTATATATTTGTTTAGCGTTCAAAAATTGTAGTGGCAACAAGGAAAAGTAAAACTCTTCACAGATGGTAAGATCATGTACATACAAAAGCCTAAGGAGTCCATTAACAACTACCAGAAATGATAATTGAGTTCAGCAAGGTTGTATGCTGTAAAATAAATACATAAACATCACCTGTATTGTATTCCTAATCATCGGCTGTGAATAAAACTCAATGAAATTAAGAAAACTCTGTGTGTGTGTGTGTGTGTGTGTGTGTGTGTGTGTGTGTGCGTGTGTGTGTGCGTGTGCTGGGGGATTGGGTGGAATTGGGGGTGAGAAGAGACAGATGAGAAGCGACAGGGGGCAAGGGGCAAGGTACATCATGGCGTTAAGGAATGGTGAATCTAAATATCCAAACCATAGAGTTAACACTGAAATGAGGACACCCAAACTTTAATAACCAAAGTTAAAAGGTGCTTGTCAAGAGAGTCTACAGTGGGTGGGGGGTTGGAGAGGGATCTTGGGAACACAGTTGGAGGGAAGTTGACACTGCTGGTAGGATCAGTGATGGAACATTGTATATCAAAAACCCAACTGAATTATTGCAAATCACAGGGCTTAGGGGCATAAATGTTAACAACAGCATCTGAAAAACCAAAATACTTCAGAACGAATGTAATAAAAGTGCAAAATGAACTCTGAAAGCTATATAATATATTGAAAGAAATTGATGAAAACCTAAAGAATGAATCATGCTACTGAATCAGAAGACTTGATATTAAGATCAAGATACTCCTTTAACTGATATACAGATTCAATGCAAATCTCATAAATCATGGCTAGTTTTAGAAATGATATGGTTAAGGGACACCGTTTAGCAAAACTTAGCAAAAGGAAATAAAAGGACTTGTGTTTTTTTGATGTGATATATTGCATCGATGGAATATTTGCAACAGAAAATACTTGTGATTTGCAAAATGATGACCCTTCAATACTAAATGAAAAAGTCAAAAGTAACGTTGAAAAATCCAATTTGTTGTTTGTTTTTTAGATTTTAGTTATTGTACTTTACAGAAGTTATTGGTAGGGTCCAATTTCTCCATAATGTGTATAGACATGTTTATAATATATATAAACAGGCCGTAGGCTCATAGTGGCCAAGGGCTGGTGGGAAGGAAAGAGGAAGTTGAAGAAGGGAAATGACTTAATTAGATATTTTTGTGAGGAATGCATAATAAAAATGTACTAAAGATGACTGGTGATTGCAAAACAATACACTAAAGCCTTTAAGTCGTCAAGTTAAATAGGGTTTTTTTTGGTTAGTGAATTGTGTGACACAATAATTTTGTTTTAATTTAGAGAATTTTATCTGTCCAAACGCACCCTAAAAATATTTATGAGTCTAACCTCACTTTCATGTATGAATTGCTATCTTTATTTTATAAATTAGAAAACAGAAAAGAAGGAAAGAAGTTTCCCCATGATTGTAAATGAGGTTTTAGTTTACTGATCTGGTGTTTATTTCATTAAAGCCCTTTGTACACTTAGACTCCAATTTGGAATATTTTTAACTTTTTTTTCTTTTTCCAAAGTTGTATTTGTTTTTGTAAATTTTAATATATATAGACATATTTTGAAGTTAGCTTTAAAAAACTTTGATTTAAAAAGTCATGTCTGTAGAACACTGTATATAAGAGAAAGCATAGAAAACATTCAGTGAATGGATGTTGATTGCCTGGTAATGAATTTAGGGTCTTAGTTCTTCGATTCTTTGTGGCAAAAGACCAAATACAGTTGGATTTGGTCCCTGTGTTCCTTTAGTCATTTTAGGATGCCATGGTGTTGAGCATACCAGCTCTTAGAAAAGGTCGAATCTTACTTTTTGTTGTGACAGGGATGCAATGGGAGGGGGTCATGCTAAGCCCTCTGAAATAAGTCTGAGGAAGGACAGATAGCAAACAGCATGGTTCATATGGTATTTAAAGAAATTAAAGCAAGAGAACAATGTCCAATAAAACTGGTAAGACCTCACCACAGAGACTGGCCCACATCCAAAAGAACAAAAGCAACTGGTGCTGGCGCGGATGTGGCAAGAAAGGGACCCTCCTTCACTGCTGGTGGGAATGCCGACTGGTTCAGTCCTTTTAGAAAACAGTATGGACGATTCTCAAAAAATTAGAAATTGAGCTCCCAGTTGACCCAGCAATACCACTCCTGGAAATATACCCCATAGAGGCAAAAAAGTATAGTCGAAGTGGCATCTGCACTTGTTTGTTCATTGCAGCATTGTTTATTGTAAACAAACAAGTGCAGATGCTAGAATCTGGAAAAATCCCAAGTGCCCGAGAACAGATAACTGGTTAAAGAAACTTTGGTACATCTACACAATGGAATACTATGTAGCTGTTAGAAAGAATGAAGTCATGAAATTTACATACAAGTGGTACTACATGGAAAGTATCATGCTAAGCGAAATGAGTCAGAAAGAGAAGGTCAGACATAGAAAGATTGCATTCATCTGGGGAACATAAAGTAACAAAACAGGAGACTAACACTGAAGAATAGCTGAGATATGTACCAGGAGGTTTACTCCATGACTTGGAGGCCAGCTAGGGGTAAACACAGCTCAGATAGCAAAGGGAGCACCAAATAAAGGGTGTTGGGGAAGTCTGCCCAGTATGGGAGTTGCATGCTGAAAGTAGACTATAGACCGAACATGATTGCCACTCAATGCAAACCACAGCACCCAAAAGGAGAGAGAGAGAACAAAAGGGAATGCCCTGCCACAGAGGCAGGGTGGGATAGGGGGATGGGGGGTGGGAGGGATACTGGGATTAGTGGTGGTGGAGAATGGGCACTGGTGGAGGAATGGGTAATTGATCACTGTATAACTGAAACCCAAGTGCAAAAATTTGTAAGTCTACAACTGTATGTCATGGTGTTTCACTAATAAGAATTAAAAAAAAAACTGATGAGACCTGACACAGGACAGGTAACGGTGATGTTGGGTGATGTTGAGTGGGATGAAAAGGAAGAGGGGAGCAATCAGTTTGGTGTGGGCATTATAAAACAATCCAAAACAATTTTAAAGTCAGTATTTCTTGACTTTTTTTCACCATGGTCCACTTCTGAACTTGTCTCCCCAACCTTCCCAACATTTGGCCTCTAGTCTTGTGCCATGACCTCCTGCTTACTCTATTTTCACCTATAAACCTGTGGACATACAGAGGAGGTCCTATGACCTGGGACAAAGAATCACTGGTGTAACTCACTATTGCCTCAATAAAATCAATTTTTTTCAATATGAAGTGACTGGAGTCAGTGATAGGACAGCGATTATGGCATTTGTTTTAGAATGAGGCTGATCAGGGTTCAGTCCCTGGAACCCCATATGGCCCCAAAGCCCAGGCGGGAATGATCTAAGATACTTGTGATTGGTGTTAAGGTTGGGAAAACTTGTACACATGGAATTAGATCATGATTGATTGTAAAGTTGGGTGCAAGGAATAGCTTTGTAAATTACAGTACCTCAATTAAATTTTTTTTTAAATGAAGTGATGAGGGGCTGGAGCAATAGTACAATGGGTAGGGTGTTTGCCTTGCATGCGGCTCACCCAGGTTTTGGTTCCCAGCATCCCATATGGTCCCCCAAGTACCGCCAGGAGTAATTCCTGAGTGCAGAGCCAGGAGTAAGCCCTGAGCATTGCAGGGTGTGACCCCCCCCCCAAAAAAAAGTGAAGTGATGATAGTGGAGGGGAAATGAAATTTACCACAAACAAAAAGAACTACATGATTTCTGCTGGCTTGTGTTCTTAAGACAAAGAGAAACAACTTCTATGAGTTCCTATAGTTCTGGTGGCACTTAAAGTAAAATATCTTAAATAATATTCCTAAAATCAGCTTCCTTTTATCTGCAGATTAAGTGGCACCCAGGAAAACCTTTCATCAGGCTTATCGGGCTCCACTAACAACTTTCATTAGCCTCTGACCAAAACCTGATTGCCTTTAAACTGACAGACTGCAGAATAAGTCAATTGTCAGATGAATCAATTATGTAAATTTATGGCAGATAAAATAAATAAATAACCTTTTAGGTGATAAAGAAGAGGGTATGAGTAAAGTAGACAGACCCTTCTGTCTCCTAAT